CTTCTTTAGACTTCTTTAGACTTTGGTAGACTTCATAAAACTTCAGGTGACTTCATGGGACTTCATCAGACTTCAAGAGACTTTAAGAATACATGAGCGTTCGGGAAGCCTTAGAAATTGCATCGAATTTTTTTACCATGCAAAACACACTATCAATTAAACAAATATAAAAACCAATTTCTTTTCCTTTTGAAAATCTTCTTTACGACATATTTAACGTTGGAGCATGTCAAGGTGATACTATTAAATGTAAGTCATAACTCTGCACAAATGTTCCTATTAAGGACAACTTTTTCACAGGTGCAAGAAATTCCCTGCCTCTTGAAGCAATTGTAAAGAAAATTACAAGTTCAAGTTTCACATAAGCAAACGGCGTGTTGGTTATTGACCGATAAAGTTAGCCGTGTATTGGCTGATTCACTTACACGAGTGATAGAAATAAACAAGCAAGATTAAAATTTTTCATAACATTCATATTGAATTGATGGAGCGTTTCTTAACAAAATACACAAGTTCCATTGAAAAGAATTGAACTGTAAACTACGATTCTTCTTTAAGACTCCTCCCTCAAAAATCGATCTCAGCCCAGGAACGTTCCAATTGCATGAAATGTTCAGCATATGTTGGGGCTGCAGCGAAGAAGCCACGGTACAATTTTCAGCCTAATATTATGATGTTTGAGGGAGATACTGGCCAAACAAGGATCAAAAAGAGCTCATTTGAGGGACAAAATTTCTCTGTCCAGGTTCATTCTACATAATTAAGTTTTGTTTTTGTTTGAAGGAGCATATCAAGATGCAGCGCATTTCAGAGCTCTTTTTTTTTAAATTCTTACTTTCTAAGTAAAGAAAAAGGATCGAAAGTCCAATGACACAGAAAACTCTCGAAAAATGACGCTCTACGTTTATAAATGTTTGTATATATAGTAAAAGCAAAGCTTAATCAAAAAAGGGCTCCGTACTACACTGCGTCTTGATGTGCTCTTTCAAACAAAAAAAATAAATACATTGAATGAGTATCAACAGAGAAATTTAGTTTGCGCGATTAAAAAACTATACTCGGAGAAAAAACGAGAAAGATTTTCTGTTTTTTCTGAAAATAGGTTGTTTCTTGAATAGGGAATGACAGAAATCTTCAAAACTTTTTGGAAAAAACGAGGTATCCAGTAAAAATTTTTGTCGTTTATGAAAAATCAGATAACGAGCTATTTTCCTATGCATTTGTCTTAATTTCGACCGGTCTGACGAAAATTGACTTTTTTTGAGGTGCCTTAAGTTCAAACAAGCTCGAAATTTTCGTGCAGATTGAAAAAATAATAAAAGCTCACATTTTTGCTGAAATAAGATCAGTAAAAGCCAGACTGTTTCATTGATTTTCTTATGAATTTTCCATGCGTTAAAGGTACGTCAAAACTTCCAGAGGACTTCATGAGACTTCAAATAATTTCATGAGACTTCAGAAGATTTCATGGGCCTTCATGAGACTTCTGGAGATTTCAGAAGACTTCATCGGACTTCGAGAGACTTCAGGTGACTTCATGAGACTTCACAAGACTTCAGAAAGACTTTAGGACTTCATTGGACTTCAAAACCAAAGTCTTAGTTGTTTCCCCTCGCAATGAACATATCAAAAATAGTGAAGATGCGTGTAATAAAATACCATCACGATGAATAAATCTTTTATCATAAATTAATTCTGTAAAGAAATAAATGCAAAACTAGTAAGTTCTAGTAATTCCTCAAATAACTGTTCAGATTTGCCACAGTGAAAGCTGCATGCATGTATTTTCAACTAAAACCTAAAGTACACTGTACTTTAAGATCCTCATACTAGGACGACTAAATAGACATACTTGAATAATCAAATCGTTGTACTCGGTTATTTCCGATATCGACGACATAAAGATGCCCGTGACGATCGAAACATAAACCTCCTGCATTCTTCAGCTGGTTTGGGTTGTGCCCAGGTCCTAGTCCCCCAATAATCGCAGTGCCTTCAATGGCTTCTCGAGTCCAACGCATCACACGATGATTACCTTGATCTGCTACATAGACAGTCCCCATGTTATCGACAAGCACGCCTAGCGGATAATAGACTTGTTTCAAATCACTTCCTGCACCATTACCACCTGCTACCACTTCACCTTGTTTTGCACCTTTCACCCACTTTACTACTCGATGATTCTTAAAGTCGGACACATAGAGTGAATAATCTCGATCGACATAGAGAAATGTTGGGTCATTGAATTGATCGAGACGTGCACCTTTGTCGTTTCCACCTGCAACTACTGTTCCATGAAATTCGCCTAATTTAAAACGTCGAACTTCGGCTTTGTCTCTGATAGTAACGTAGAGAAACCAACGATTGTCCATCGTCAAACCAAAGCAGTCAATACTAGATAAGAGGATGTCTCCATGAAGACCATCTCGATGTGGCCAACGTACCACTCGTCTATTGGCACTGTCACAAATAACCAGCTTGTTCGTTGATCGATCCATGATTACATCCATTGGGTGATCTAGCTGGTTTAGCGCGTTTCCTTGTCCATTTCCACCAGCTACCACTTGGCCAGTAGTCGTATTAGGAGACCAGGCCAAAACACGATGATTGACAGAATCAGCAACATAGATAGTGTTTTCGTCATCGACGTATAATCCAGCGGGCGTATTGAGTTGATGCAACTGTTCTCCATTTCCATGACCGCCCGCCACTATAGTTCCACTTTCTGACCACCGTGCTTGCAGCATGAGCGCAACATCAGTACCCCGAAGAGGTGTCACTGAAAGGAGAAGAATATAACATCTTCAAGTCTTCACAATTTCACATCCCTTCGTATCTTTCTCCTGATAACTCTGATGAAACAATGGTTTAGTTGAGATGGTCTTAAGACATTAGGTTCCATTCCTTTATGATGAATCAGATTGTACGATAGGATACATCTCAAGTATTATGTGGAATGTGAAAATCAATATATGAAGTCACCTTACTCATAGATAATTCAATAAATGTTATAATAAATCTAAGTGAGCCACACTTTAAAATGGTTGCATACTGTAAATAAAAAATTTGTGCAAATTCAACCTTCACAGTATTCGATGCATTCCCAATAATTCACGTTTAGTCAATAGGGGTTCGTGGACAGGTAAAGGAAAAATATAAAAAGATTTATATGCGATCATGGAATATTTATAAAAGTACTTCTGAAGTTCAACATAAAACAAAGAACGTTATCGAAGTATGGCACAGTATATTTTTTTCATTAATGAACTTCAGCTTCATAATGCATACAGTGAGGGCCGAAAAAGCCTGGACTTTTTTATTTTTACACATAAACGTATAGCAAGGATATTCTAAAAATTTTCTCGTATATCTATTTCTGTAGAGCTTTTTACGCTGATCATCTTGGTAAAAAAACTTTTTGATTTTCAATGAGTAATGACAATGTTATAGTCAAAATACTAAACACTGTAGTAGAATGCAGGGGAAAAGTAGAGCACATTTTTAGTGTTTGGCTAATTTTTACGTTATTCTACAACATCTGAAAGTTGTTCTATATACCATTGGATGCAGAATTTAATGGGCTACATTTTGGTAAAAAGTAATTATACTTATATTGTGGTTAATTAATTAATTAATAATTAATTAGTAGTTAATAATAATTAGCGATTACTTAATAATATTTTAATTTTTTTTTTAAATTCCAACCAGTCATTGGACGAGTACAAGTACAGCAAGTACCAGTAAAACTGAAGATACTTAAAAAATGTACTTTGTACTTTACTTAAATACTTTTTACTTGAATAAATTTCAGTCAGTAGCGGTACTGTACTGAATTGTACTCAAGTACAGTATTTAAGTACATTAGAGTACTTAAAGCCATAATGTAGCGTAGCTGTACATGTAACACGTTGATATCGATGTTAGGATGTGTGATACACACCTAACGTCTATAACTTAGCGACATCTTAAGGAAAATGTATGTGAATAATCATTATCACGATATTTCTATCTCCATTGTCATAAAACAGCCTCGGTATAAATGATCAACATTGATAACCAAAGAAAATTCAAAAGACATGAATTTATAGTGTGTAGGTTTAAATATTATGAATATTATGTAGACATTTCCGAGAATGCAAAGTAGTAATATATAAGAATATGTTGATATCCGATTACAGTACATTTTGTACTTAAAATACTGGTACTTCAGTAAATGAGTACAAAGTTTGGTACTTCAGTAAAATCTTTCAGTACAAGTAAATTTACTGATACTGTTAGAATGTACTCAAGTAATCCTGAATACTCAGTAAAAGTATCAAAAATACTCAGTAAAATACTGAGTATCCAATCACGGATTCCAACTCTACCATTCGAAAGAGCATAAAAAACTGAACAAAACTCTATTATTATCATTTGGAAAGCAACAAATTTGTTGAGGTTTTAGGGTGATTTTCAGAGTATGCTCACTTGTAATTAGATATAGTATTCATTATTTTAATAAATTCAATCATGAAATGACACATGAAATACGCGAAAACCGACGCATTTTAAACAGTTTCATTTACTCTTTCAAATGACATGTCGCTGCTTTCTCTCCGACATTCTATACAAATGTTATGATGTCTTTAGTTGTAAGAGCTAATTTAAGCTATCCTTTCCAGCCATTTTTCTGTTATTTTGCATTCTATATTTCAAAAGACGTTGTAACATTTGTATAGAATATCGGAGATAAAGCGGCGACATGTCATTTGAAAGAGTAAATGAAACTGTTTAAAATGCGTCGGTTTTCGCGTATTTCATGTGTCATTTCATGATTGAATTTATTAAAATAATGAATACTATATCTAATTACAAGTGAGCATACTCTGAAAATCACCCTAAAACCTCAACAAATTTGTTGCTTTCCAAATGATAATAATAGAGTTTTGTTCAGTTTTTTATGCTCTTTCGAATGGTAGAGTTGGAATTTAAAAAAAAATTAAAATATTATTAAGTAATTGCTAATTATTATTAACTACTAATTAATTATTAATTAATTAATTAACCACAATATAAGTATAATTACTTTTTACCAAAATGTAGCCCATTAAATTCTGCATCCAATGGTATATAGAACAACTTTCAGATGTTGTAGAATAACGTAAAAATTAGCCAAACACTAAAAATGTGCTCTGCTTTTCCCCTGCATTCTACTACAGTGTTTAGTATTTTGACTATAACATTGTCATTACTCAATGAAAATCAAAAAGGTTTTTTACCAAAATGATCAGCGTAAAAAGCTCTACAGAAATAGATATACGAGAAAATTTTTAGAATATCCTTGCTATACGTTTATGTGTAAAAATAAAAAAGTCCAGGCTTTTTCGGCCGTCACCGTATGTTTTTGTTGCATGTAATATGAATGACTCTTATGATGTACATTTCGACTAAAAATAGTAGTTTTTCCTTCGTTTTCTTGTCGATTGTGTTTACAGTTCTGTAATATCTCATTCACCTGTGCGAATCATAAGATCTTAGTTTTTCTTTTGTTGTCTTCGATGTCCTAATTTAATAAACTAACTTCATTATATGCTGATTTATACAGAGTTTCGTCGTGATTTTCAAAGAGCGAATATTTGAACCACATGCCTTCGTGTTATCAAAAGCAACTGACACACTCATAGCTTCTTTGGATGGTGTAAAATGAATTCCTGAAGATAGAATTCTTTGAGAGAAAGGAAATAAACATACTTGAATAATCAAATCGTTGTACTCGGTTATTTCCGATATCGACGACATAAATATGGGCGTCACGACCGAAACATAAGCCTCCCGCATACATCAGCTGGCTTGGGTTGTGTCCAGGTCCTAGTCCTCCAACAATCACAGTGCCTTCAATGGCTTCTCGAGTCCAACGCATCACACGGTGACTATCTTTATCTGCTACATAGACAGTCCCCATCTTATCGACAAGCACGCCAAGCGGATAAGAGAGTTGTTTCAAATCACTTCCTGCACCATTACCACCTGCTACCACTTCACCTTGTTTCGCATCTTCCAACCACTTTACTACTCGATGATTCTGCATGTCGGACACATATAGTGAATAATCTTGATCGACATAGAGAAATGTTGGTTGATTGAATTGATCGAGACGTGCACCTATGCCGTTTCCACCTGCAACTACTGTTCCATGAGATTCGCCTAATTTAAAACGTAGAACTTCAGCTGTGTCTGTGATTGTAACGTAGAGAAACCAACGATCGTCCATTGTCAAACCGAAGCATGCAATACTGGATAAGACGATGTCTCCACGAAGACCATCTCGATGTGGCCAACTTACCACTCGTCTATTCCCACGGTCACAAATGAGCAGCTTGTTCGTTGATCGATCCATGATCACATCCCTTGGTTCGACTAGTTGATTAAGGGCACTTCCTTTTCCATTTCCACCAGCTACCACTTGGCCAGTAGTAGCATTAGGAGACCAGGCCAAAACACGATGATTGACAGAATCAGCAACATAGATAGTGTTGTCGTCATCGACGTATAATCCAATGGGCATATTGAGTTGATGCAACTGTTCTCCATTTCCATGACCGCCCGCCACTGTGGTTCCATTGTCTGACCACCGTGCTTGCTGCATGAGAGGAACATCAGTACCCCGAAGAGGTGTTACTGAAAGGACAAGAATGTAGCATCTTCAAGTGTTCACAATTTCAGATCCCTTAGTATCTTTCTCCTGATAACTCTGATGAAAGAGTAGTTTAATTGAGATGGTCTTAATACATTAGGTTGCATTGCTTTATGATGAATCAGATTATACGATAGGATACATCTCAAGAATTATGTAGAATGTGAAAATCAATATATGAAGTCACCTTACTCATAGATAATTTAATAAATGTTATAATAAATCTAAGTGAATCACACTTTAAAATGGTTGCATAATGAAAATAAAAAATTTGTGCAAATTCAACCTTCACAGTATTCGATGTATTCCCAGTTATTCAGGTTTAGTGAGTAAGAGTTCGTGGACAAGTAAAGGGAAAATATAAAAATTTTTCTATGCGATCATGGAATATTTATAAAAGTACTTCTGAAGATCAACAGAAAACAAAGAATGTTGTTGAAGTATGGCATAGTATATTTTTTGTGTACTCAAAAAGTGGTACACTCGAGAATCGGCCAGTGTGTCCGTTCGTCGGGCCGTCCGGCCGTTTACACGATAACTTTTGAAAAGAGAGTCCGATTGCGATGAAATTTCCTACACAGTTTAGTCTCAACAATATCTCGGTGGAGTTCGAAATTGAGAAGGATTGGCAGAGCCATTCCTCAGTTATTGGAAAAATAGTCATTTTTCAGTACGCCTTCCTATGCAAAAATCGACCTATCCCCGCTTTCGTAAAAAACGTTTCGTATCATAGTCAAATGAAACTCCAAATATTATATGCCATTCGATAGAGAATTTCACGTGCTACAAAATGGTAAATAAAACATAAAGAAACAATAAGACTAACTCACGTATTGCAAGGGTAATTAAACGGGAATTGGTTCTGCTTGTGTCCACACTGTAATTGAGCCGCAATTAGAGCTCTATATTTCGATCACAGCGATGTTAGTTCGAGGTTTTTTGGGTCGGAGAACTCCAATCTAAGCTTCGTTTGCCTCGAAATCCTATTGGTTGAGCAATAACCAATAGAAATCAAGTTATAGGAAAAACGACTTTCTTAGGGTAAATCAAGGCGAAGAGTTCAAATCTGAGCTCTATTCATCTCTAAATGCTATTGGTTGAGCAGTAGCCAATAGAAATCAAGCGTTTATAGAAAGGGTTTGCCAGGATAATTTTTATGCCCACACATTCTAGGATGACTCATCTGTCTCATTCACTTTTCGAAGTACACATAACTCTCAGATTTAAATCCGAGGTTTCCACATTTATTTTAATTAATGAACTTGAGCTTCATGATGCATCTGTTTTTGTTGCATGTAATATCAATGATTCTTATCATGGTGATTTCGACTAGAAATAGTAGTAGTTTTTCCTTCGTCTTCTAGTGGATTTTATTTACAGTTCTGTAATATCTCATTCATCTGTCCGAATCATAAGATCTTAGTTTTTCTTTTGTTGTCTTCCATGTCCTAATCTAACAAACTAACGTCATTATATGTTGATATATAGAAAGTTTCGTCATGATTTTCAAAGAGCGAATATTTGAACGGTATTCCTTCGTGTTGTCAAAAGCAACTGGCGCACTGATAGCCTCTTTTGGTGGTGTAAACTGATTTCTTGAAGGTAGAATTCTTTGAGAGAAAGGAAATAAACATACTTGAATAATCAAATCGTTGTACTCGGTTATTTCCCTTATCGACGACATAAAGATGGCCGTGACGATCGAAACACAAACCTCCCACAGTGTTCAGCTGGCTTGGGTTGTGTCCAGGTCCTAGTCCCCCAACAATCACAGTGCCTTCAATGGCTTCTCGAGTCCAACGCATCACACGATGATTACCTTGATCTGCTACATAGACAGTCCCCATTTTATCGACAAGCACGCCAAACGGATGAGAGAGTTGTTTGAAATCACTTCCTGGACCATGACCACCTGCTACCACTTCACCTTCTTTTGCACCTTTCACCCACTTTACTACTCGATGATTGCTGGAGTCGGACACATAAAGCGAATAATCTCGATCGACATAGAGATATGCTGGTCCATTGAATTGATCGAGACGTTCACCTTCGCCGTTTCCACCTGCAACTACTGTTCCGTGGGATTCCCCTAATTTAAAACGTCGAATTTCGGCTTTGTCTATGATAGTAACGTAGAGAAACCAACGATCGTCCATTGTCAAACCGAAGCAGTCAATATTAGATAAGAGTATGTCTCCATGAAGACCATCTCGATGTGGCCAACGTACCACTCGTCTATTCCCACGGTCACAAATGAGCAGCTCGTTTGTTGATCGATCCATGATCACATCCGTTGGTTTGAATAGTTGATTAAGTGTATCTCCTTTTCCATTTCCACCAGCAATCACTTGTCCACTAGTGGTATTAAGAGACCAGGCCAAAACACGGTCATTGTCAGAGTCAGCAACATAGATTGTGTTCTCGTCATCGACGTATAATCCAAAGGGCATATTGAGTTGATGCAACTGTTCTGCATTTCCATGACTGCCCGCCACTATGGTTCCTTTGTGTGACCACCGTGCTTGTGGCATGAGAGGGACATCAGTACCCCGAAGAGGTGTCACTGAAAGGACAAGAATGTAGCATCTTCAAGTGTTCACAATTTCAGATCCCTTAGTATCTTTCTCCGGATAACTCTGATGAAAGAGTAGTTTAATTGAGATGGTCTTAAGATATTAGGTTGCATTGCTTTATGATGAATCAGATTATACGATAGGATACATCTCAAGAATTATGTAGAATGTGAAAATCAATATATGAAGTCACCTTACTCATAGATAATTTAATAAATGTTATAATAAATCTAAGTGAATCACACTTTAAAATGGTTGCATAGTGGAAATAAAAAATTTGTGCAAATTCAATCTTCACAGTATTTGATGTATTCCCAATAATTCACTTTTAGTCAATAGGTGTTCGTGGACAAGTAAAGGAAAAATATAAAAATTTTAATATGCGATGATGAAATATTTATAAAAGTACTTATGATGATCAACATAAAACGAAGAATGTTGTCGAAGTATGGTACAATAAATTTTGTTCATTAATGAACTTGAGCTTCATGATGCATGTGTTTTTGTTGCATGTAATATCAATGACTCTTGAGATGTACATTTCGACTAAAAATAGCGGTTTTTCTTTCGTTTTCTTCTCGATTTTATATACAGTTCTGTAATATCTGATTCATCTGTGCGAATCATAAGATCTTAGTTTTTCTTGTGTTGTCTTTCATGTCCTAATTTAATAAACTAACCTCATTATATGCTGATATATGCAAAGTTTCGTCATGATTTTCACAGAGCGAATATATGCATCGCAGGGCTTCGTGTTGTCAAAAGCAACTAACGCACTCATAGTTTCTTTTGGTGGTGTAAAATGAGTTCTTGAAGATAGAATTCTTTGAGAGAAAGGAAATAAACATACTTGAATAATCAAATCGTTGTACTCGGTTATTTCCCATATCGAGGACATAAAGATGGCCGTCACGTTCGAAACATAAACCTACCGGATTCCTCAGCTGGTTTGGGTTGTATCCAGGTCCTTGTCCCCCAACAATCACAGTGCCTTCAATGGCTCCTCGAGTCCAACGCATCACACGATGATTACCTTGATCTGCTACATAGACAGTCCCCATCTTATCGACAAGCACGCCAAACGGATGAGAGAGTTGTTTGAAATCACTTCCTGGACCATGACCACCTGCTACCACTTCACCTTCTTTTGCACCTTTCACCCACTTTACTACCCGATGATTCTTTAGGTCGGATACATATAGTGAATAATCTTGATCGACATAGAGAAATGCTGGTTCATTGAATTGATCGAGACGTTCACCTATGCCATTTCCGCCCGCTACTAGTGTCCCATGAGGCTCACCCAATCTGAAGCGTCGAACTTCGGCTTTGTCTATGATAGTAACGTAGAGAAACCAACGATCGTCCATTGTCAAACCGAAGCAGTCAATATTAGATAAGAGTATGTCTCCATGAAGACCATCTCGATGTGGCCAACGTACCACTCGTCTATTCCCACGGTCACAAATGATTAGCTCGTTTGTTGATCGATCCATGATCACATCCCCCGGGTGATCTAGCTGGTTTAACGCGTTTCCTCTTCCATTTCCACCAGCTATCACTTGGCCAGTAGTTGTCTCAGAAAACCAAGCCATAACGCGATGATTGTTATTATCACTTACGTAAATTGTTTGTTTGTCATCCACATAAAGTCCGCGTAATGAACTCGATTGATTGACTCGCTCTTTTTCACCTGAGGTATATGGAAGTGTAGTTCCGTTCCTTGACCACCATGATTGTGAGAGAAGAGGAAAGTGAGTACCGCGAAGAGGTGTCACTAAAACGACAAAAAAAACAGCATGGCATGCTGTCACAATGAACCAAGCGGGAAACAGCAGGTTCAAGACTTGAAGAGACTTAAATTGACTTGCGAAGAGTGCAAAAAACTTGATGGGACTTGACGAGACTTTATGGGAGTTCACGAGACTTCAACGGACTGAAAGAGACTTCAGAGACTTCAAGAGACTTTATAAGATTTCGTAAGAGTTCAGCAGACTTCATGGGACTTCATGGAACTTCATGGAACTTCATGGAATTTCAAAAGACTTTATGAGACTTCGGTAGACTTCGGTAGACTTCATAAAACTTCAGGTGACTTCATGGGACTTCATGGGAGTTCATCAGACTTCATCAGACTTCAAGACTAGATGAGCGTTCGGGAAGCCTTAGAAATTGCATCGAATTCCTGTACCATGCGAAACACGCTATCAATTAAACAAATATAAAAAACAATTTCTTTTCCTTTTGAAAATCTTCTTTACGACATATTTAACGTTGGAACATGTTAAGGTGATACTATTTAATGTAAATCATAACTCTGCACAAATGTTCCTATTAAGTGCAACTTTTTCACAGGTGCAACAAATTCTCTGTCTCTTGAAGCAATTGCAAAGAAAACTACAAGTTAAAGTTTCACATAAGCAAATGGCGTTTTGGTTATTGACCGATAAAGTTAGCCGTTTATTGACTGATTCACTTACACGAGTGATAGAAACAAATAAGCAAGATTAAAAATTTTCATAACATTCATATTGAATTGATGGAGCGTTTCTTAACAAAATAAACAACTTCCATTGAAAAGAATTGAACTGTAAACTACGATTCTTCTTTAAGGGGACCTCCCCGTTTCCGGGACATCTCGAGAACGGCTCATCCGAAAAATTTGAAACTTTCACAGCTGATAGATCTCGATGTGTAGAGTAAAAGTTGTCATAGACTCAAAATCCCCAAATGCTTCTTTCTAGGAGATATTGGGTTTGCAATGGCTAAAAATCGACCCCCAAATCGCCCCCGTTTTGTCAGACACAGTAAATTCGATTGAGCTGAAATTTTTTCTACAGATAGTAGAGACACTTTAGGGTGCCTACTTTTTTTGGTTTCTTTCTATCTCATACCGTTCGAATGAAAAAGCCAAAATACGAAGAGCACCCAAAAAACCCATATTTTTTTGAATAGTGCTTGTCTTGTAAGACCTGCCAAAACTCAACGGTACAATATTTTTCAAAACAAGAAAAAGTAGGCCCCCTAAAGTGTTTCTACTATCTGTAGAAAAAATTTCAGCTCGATCGGATTTACTGTTCCTGAGAAACGGGGGCGATTCTGTAGATTTTTGCTGAAAAACCTGGTTTCTAGAAAACCGCGAAAGAAAGAAAAAATCATGGTATACCCCTACGGCAATCGATTTATCTTTTCGATTTTATTTTTGCTTTAGAGCTATATTTGAGTTCTCAAAACGTTACCAGTAGATAGAGGGCACTTGAAAACACATGTAGAGCAGAAAAAACAAAAAATGAAAAATTTGAAAATTTTGGGTCCGGAAAGGGGGGTTCCCTTAAGGCTCCTCCCTCAAAAATCGATCGCAGCCCAGGAACGTTCCAATTGCATGAAATTTTCAGCATATGTTGGGGCTGCAGTGAAGAAGCCATGGTACAATTTTTAGCCCAATATCATGAGGTTTGAGGGAGATACTGACCAAATAAGGGTCGAAATAGCTCATTTGGGAAACAAAATTTCTCTGTCCAGATTCATTCTACATACTTAAGTTTCTTTTTGTTTGAAACAGCATGTCAAGATGCAGTGCATTTCAGAGCTCTTTTTTTTAAATTCTTACTTTTGAAGTAAAGAAAAGGGATCGAAAGTTCAATCACGCAGAAAATTCTGGAAAAATGGCGCTCTACGTTTATAAATGTTTATATATATAGTGAAAGCAAAGCTTAATCAAAAAAGGGCTTCGTACTACACTACGTCTTGATGTGCTCTTTCAAACAAAAAAAATACATACATTGAATGAGTATCAACAGAGAAATTTAGTTTGCGCGATTAAGAAACTATACTCGGAGAAAAAACGAGAAAGACTTTCTGTTGTTTCTGAAAATAGGTTACTTCTCGAATAGGGAATGACAGAAATCTTCAAAACTCTTTGGAAAAAACGAGGTAGCAAGTAAAAATTTTTGTCGTTTATGAAAAATCAGATAACGAGCTATCTTCCTATGTATTTGTCTTAATTTCGACCGATCTGACGAAAAGTGTCTTTTTTTGAGGTGCCTTAAGAGAGGGTCCGCGAGAGGACCACCCTCGGTCGCCGGGGAAAAAAATGTTTTTTCGATTTTATTTTCTTAAATGATAGGCCTAGGTAAACTATAGTTAAATCCAAAATATTAGCTCATTTGGTTTTACCTATGAAAAATGCGAGGTAAAACAAGTTTAACAGGGTCAAAATTGACCCTAAAAAGTCGCTAAAAATGGGTGTGCTCAGTATTTTGACATTTTCTTATGAATGGTTTGACCGTTTGAGATCGGTCACATATCATTAGATAGAGAATAGTATAGGCTACAAATTTATTCAACTTTGATGATTCATATCTGAGATAAAAGAAACGCTATAGATCAAAAACCTTCCAAATCTCAAGAAGTTCGACACTCTAGGATAGCAGTATTTTGGGCTTTTCTTGAGTGATGCAAGCGGTTCCAAACTTCTTTTTTTACCAAACATAGATATTGTCAAGATACATCTTTTGACATTAAATTGTCAAGACGAAAAAACTCGGGGCCAAGTTAGCATGAACCACATTGTCCCCTACCCTACCTAGTCATCATTGATCCTACCTCACAAAGGCATACAATTTCTACAAAAATCACAAAAATAGACTTCAGATTCGTGTTCAGCTTGAAAAACTGGGTTAGATAGGTTATTTTAAATTGATTCCTTACTTGTACCAAGCGTGCTGAAGATCATGGGTCTACTTCATACATGTATAATAGGTATATGACACAGTGTTTTGATAATAATTTACCAATATTAATAGTTACCGAGTTCAAGTTTTTACCATTCGATAGCCCTTTTCAAAAGCTACAAAGCTATATATTTTTCAAGCTTA